ACATTTTTTTTTCCTGTGATATATTCTATTTTTAGGTCATATGGCATGAGCTCTAGAGCCCATCGAGCTAACCGTCCAGTAGGGGACTTTAAGGTCATTAACCATTTTAAGGCTTGGTGATCACTTTGCACTATGGTAGTAGCGCCTTCTAAGTATCCTCGAAATTTCTTCACTGCCCAAACCACAGCAAGAGCTTCTCGTTCTGTAGTGCTATAGTTTTGTTCAGCAGGAGTCAGGAGTCTCGAAGCATACTCTACAGGTCGTTCATTCTCTTTCTCCCCCTGGAGAAGGCATGCCCCCAAAGCATAATTGCTAGCATCTGTACGAAGTATATAAGGTAAATTGCAGTCAGCTTGTCGTAGGATTGGGGCGGAACACAATAATTGTTTCAGACATTCAAAGGCCTCTTGTTGTTCTGCTCCCCAGGTCCATTTCACATTTTTCTTGGTTAAATTCGACAAAGGTTTAGCAACATGGGAGAAATTTTCGATGAATCTACGGAACCATGAGCATGTTTGCAGGAATTTTAGCAGTTGAGTAACATTTCGGGGTGGTGTCATGTTTAGTATGGCAGATACTTTATTTTCACTTGGCCGGATACCCAAAGGTGAAAGGATGTGTCCGAGATATTGGACTTCCTCACAGGCGAATGAACATTTTGCTCTATTTAGACATAATTTAAATAGGCGCATCCGGTTAAATACTTGTTTCAAATCGTCTATGTGGTCAGAGAAGGATGGGGATAATATTATCAGATCATCTAAATAAGCTAGGATATTCAGATTTTGAAGACCAGCACGAAATTTATCAATCATCCTTTGGAAACTAGCGGGACTGTTACACATACCAAAGGGCATGCGTGTGTAACGAAAGGTGCCAAATGGACACACGAAGGCTGTTTTGTCACGATCAGCTGTTCGTACAGAGATTTGATGATAACCATATTTTAAGTCGAGGGTAGTCATAAATCGGGTTTCCTTTGCTGCATGCAAAATATCTTCAATACGTGGCAGAGGGTACTTATCTGCACGTGTTATTGCGTTTAAGCGTCGATAGTCTACTGTTAATCTGATACCTCCATCTTTCTTAGGCACAAGTACCACGGGTGAAGCATATGGGGACTCACACTCTTCGATTATGCCTTGAGCCAAAAGTTTATCTAATTCCTGACGCAGTAATTGCCTTTTGGGCTCTGACATACGGTAAGGTGGAACAGATATGGGTACATCATCAACCAATACAATGGAGTGTTCAGCATATGGAGTAGGGTCTTTATTATATACAAATAAATCAGAATTTTCCTTAACAATGTTGTTAAGATTGGATCTTTCTTCTAAGGATAGAGAAATTCCTTCATCTGCTCGTAGTTCCAAATGAGCAAGAGTAACGCTATTGACCTGGCAAGGAGAGCTGACCTGAGCTGGATCTGGAGCAAATGAGTAGGGGATATTAGGGACATCACCATAAAACCATGAGTCATTAGGAATGTCTAGAATGATGTTAGCTTTTCTTAAGAAGTCTGCCCCCAGTAAGGTACGACTATTTGTGTGTGTGGGCACAGAAATTAAGGAAATGCTATGAGAGCGGTTTTGTAAGATAACAACTAAATCAAATACCAAAACAGTGGTAGAAGTAGTCCTACCATCCGCTAGGGTCATGTCTACACTTTTTGTGGAAAAGGGTACCTCATCCTTCAAGAGGATATCTCTTAGCTGAGAGCCAGCAATACTGCACTGTGCTCCCGAATCAAGATAACAATGACCTACATGACCTTCAATAGTGACCTGAACAATGGGTTTAGTTGATAGGTTTGTGGCAAGCTGTTGGTCGAAATTAACTGTTTCAGCAAGCATAAATTCAGATACTGCTGAGGATTTACTAGATGATTTGCATTTTGGACAATTACTCTTAATGAATCCAGGAGTCTTACATCCATAACACGAAATCTGATTCGAAGTAGAAAAAGTTGGTTTAGGGCTAGTACGAGAGGTTACTAGAGAAGGATTAGGTTTGGGCTCAACCGAAGATTTTCGAGAATCTGCTTCCCTGGTTCTGGCTGCGGCCAATTTTCGACATTCATCCTTCACGTGACCTGGATTTTTGCAAAAGCTACACCGTACCCGTTTTGATTCGTTTTCGTTTTTAATGTTTATTTCCGGATTTTCATACGATTCTTCAGTTTGCCTCGCTTCTTTTAAGAGTTCGCTAAATGTATTGATCTTATCACGTGCGACTTTTTCACGTATTCTCCTATGCAACAAACCGTATACCATATCTAATTGAGTAGCTTCGGTTAATGTATCTGCCGGTAACTGAGCTATTATCGCGCGCGCTTTGCATACAAAAATGTCACACGGTGTTTTAGCATCTTGTTCCGTCGAAAACAGTTCCCGATATACTCTGTAGGCTGGTTTTTGAGGTCCAAAAGTCGATCGTAATAAATTAATGGCGCTGGCCCACGTGTTTACCGTATTTTTAACACCTTGAAACCACGTGGCGGCGAAACCGTCTAGCAGCATGGGTATACCCTTTAATGCGTTCGCGTCAGACACGTGGCTGCACTCTTTATAGATCTCGACCGCATCTATAAAAGCTTTTACATCAGCCCCCTTTGATCCATCGAAGCGAGAAGCGCATTTTGCTAAACTACCCGAGTCCGAAATAGGCCTTGCTATTGTATTTAATAAGGCTTGAAACTGTTCGCTTGTTAAATTTACTGACGACATTTCTGCTGATGTTGATTCGCTTGAACTAAAAACCGTCGTCGACCTAAGCGAATAACTGTGTTTATCGTTTGATGCCGTGATTGCAAGTTTAACACAAAAATAGTAATAAAAATTAAAGGCTTACAGTTTCTGTTGCTTATTTCTTGTAAATACCCTTGAATGGAAGCTTGATATTATCACAGGATGTTTCTGAATGGTCTGTAGTGGAAGATTGATATTCCCACAGGATATTTTGAACGATCTGTAGTGGAAGATTGATATTCCCACAGGATGTTTTTGGATGGTCTGTGCGGAGTTTCCACAGCAGTCGCATACACAGTAGATTTATTGTTGTGAAGCACTAAACTAAGTGAAAATGTCCACTAATCACCTTACAATGGCGGGAGCAAAAACACTTTTTATTGTTCACAATGAAACTTTACGATTTTCACAGTACGAACTACACTTTAAACTATTTTGCCCAAGTTGGGTGCCAGTTGTGATGTGGGTATTAGTAAAAATAGTTAGGTAATGACTGTGAATATTGATTTATAGGATTTTATTAAAAGAAAACCATGTGTTATAATTTTAACCTACATCTTACAACCAAAACATATCTATCTGTCTCTTGTCACCGTTCACTCTCGGTGGACACTGTCATGGTTACTTGGTGGTATTCAGCCACGGAGCGGTGTGGCTGTTACAATATATATATATATATATATATATATATATATATATATATATATATATACCAAGTTGTTTACGCGAATACTAGTTAAGAGAATGGAAAGAAAATTAGAGACTTATTAACCAAGGGAGCAGGCAGGATTCCGAAAAAGTTACGGAACAAACGACCATCTACAAAGTATAAAAACCCTAATAGAGAAAGCAGTGGAATACGATGAACCTCTAGTTCTAATATTTATCGATTTTCATAAAGCCTTTGACACAGTTGAGCTAAGCAAAATATTACGTTATATATTATATTAATATAATATATTAAGCAATTCAGGCTAGATTATAGATATACTAAATTATTATACAAAATATACCTGCAGGTAACAACCGCTGTCAGATTACATACTAACAGTACTCACATCAAAATAGAACGGGGGGTTAGACAAGGAGACCCAATGTTACCTAAACTTTTTAATACGGTGCTAGAACATGCTTTTAAGAATTTCGATTAGATGACTGATTTTTATTCCCTTAGAAAGGGAATAAAAATAGATGGAGAATATCTAAATAACTTACGTTTCGCCGATGATACACTTATAATAGCTGAAGATCTAGGTATGGCAAGAGAGATGGTACAGGAACTCGTTGTGGCTACAGAAAATGTAGGTTTAAATATAAATATCTCGAAAACAAAAATCATGACCAATTTGGTACCCAACCAGAACATCAGTATTGGTGGAAAAGAAATAGAACTCGAAGAAAGATATAAATACCTGGGACATGAAATTATGATTGGCAGGGATAACCTGACTCATGAACTGAAGAGAAGAATCGGCCTTGGGTGGGCAGTATTTGGAAAACTGAGAGAAACTTTTAAAAATGAGCTGCCCACATGCCTAAAGAGAAAGGTATTTGATCAGTGCGTCCTCCCAGTCTTGACGTACGGAGTAGAAACACTTACCTTAACAAAAGCAGCAGCTACCAAACTGAGAGTCACGCAGAGAAGAATCAAGCGGTCCATGTTAAGAATAACTCTGCGAGACAGAATAACCAACGAAGACATCAGGAGAAGAACCGACATCATCGAAAAGATAGCCAGATTAAAATGGAGATGGGCAGGACACATAGCCAGATGGGCGATGGACAAAGAGGTTATTGGAATGGTGGCCAAGGGAAGACGAGGGAAGCGTCGGTCGACCACCTACAAGATGGACTGACGATTTAAGAAGACTCAATAAAAACTGGATAAGAGCGGCGCAAGATAGACGGGGTTGGAAACATGAGGAAGAGGCCTATGTTTAGCAGTGGACTCTTGAGGCTGGATGATGATGAAAATAAATTTTGTTTAGATTTGGTACATCTATCGATTTCTGGAGTTATTTTTAATAAAATAATTTCCAACCCCTAGAAAGGGTGGCATTCACCCCAGGGTAAAAGCGCAAGTTGACACCATGTCACTTTTGTTTCTTAAGGAATCCTCTAACTACCAATTTTCATGAAAATCGATGGAGGTTCAACGAAATCGGAGTGAAAATCTTCAGTGACTGTGCTATTAGTAAAAAATTGAATTCATCTAATTAGATTAAAATAAAATTAAATTATATGTATACATACCAATGTACACTCCAAAAGTTCTTCCTTTGATAATTTTTCTACAATTGCTACGGTATAACAATCACCCAACATATTACTAGTAGTTCTTAGTCGATCGCTGAAAAATTAATAATTCATTTTTAAAACTAGAAAATATTGAATTGAGGTTTTCGTTTTGACAGATGATATCTATTATAAAAAAAAAGAAAAAGCAAAAATCTGTTTATATTCATGTATAAATATCGTCTATACATTTATCGTTTTTTTTGCTTACATCTGAGAAAATCATTTATGCTGGATACGTGGAGTGAAAAAATAGGATACAATTAAGAATTAAAATATAAGGGAAGTCTAGGGGTGGCACCAAGTGTTCCCAAAATGAGAGAGCATATGTTACGATGGTTCGGAAATGTTCAAAGTCGATAATAATATTTATATTTTAAAAACCCAATAAATAAAATACGGATATTCCTAGTTCTTATCCTTTATTTGCAAAACGTCAAGTTATTAGGGGTGGAACGGGGTACCTAAGTTTGATAGTAATTTATGCAATATTTAATGAAACTACACCATCATTTGACAAATCTTATCTTTATATATTTATTTCTTTATAAGGAAAATATAGTTAAAGTTATAAAAAAAAACGTTTCTGAGAAAAATGTGCATTACAAAAATAAAGGGAAATTTCCCATTCTGCCTCCACAATGGAGTGCCCCATAATATAACTAATATCATTGGCAAAGTTCACAGACGAGAACGCTTTCATTAGACGTGTCCATTTCTTACAAATGCTATAAGAACACCAGTCTTCATTGGGCTTAGCGTAGTAATCATGGCAATACAAGCATGCTGTGTCTTCTTCTTCTGCGCTATCTTCGGATTCAGTTTCAGATCTTTTTTGTTTCTTTACCTTAATTTTAACCTGTTTGTTCTTATTTTCTTTCCTTTTTCGTTGAGTTTCAATTTCTCTGGGTTTGTTTTCATCATTTTTAAACATTAATCTCTGTTTAATTTTTTCTCTTTAGCTTCTTTTATTGTTTGCATCTTTTTTACAGATTTTTCCAGTTCAACCTTATAAGGTGAGGCGGTATGGACAGCAGTCTTTTCCACGCTTTTTTACAGTTCTTCTTGTTCTGGCTTTAACTTTTGGTAACGGAATTAGATTTCTTGGCGACGTGACTGAAAAATGTGTGTCGGCATTAGTACGAACAGGGGAATCGGGCATCCATGAACATCCGGGTTTGTGGACATTCACTGGTGGGGTAAGATTTTCGTCAATTGTCGGAATCGATGGGTTATTTTTGACAGAATTATCAACTACGGGTGTGGGATGAACACGGAGTGAGGAGAAATGCTTCTGTACCGGTGTAGTTGGCGTTGAGTCAGTTGTCTCTGGCATAGCCGGCGATATTTCCTGGATTGTGCTACCAACAGGATTTTCCAAGGGAATATCTGTTGTTGCTGATGGTAGAAAGTCATCATCGATGAATTTATTCATATTGGATGTCCAGATACCAGATTTCTCAAAGCCATTAATGGCAGTTCTCATATTTGCTGCACTTAAGCAAGCCTGGCCAAGTGTTATTTCGAAAAGCTGAACCACTCTCCCTGGATGTGACCTGAGCCACTTTCTTATTTCATCCTTATAATACAAGCTCAAGGGCTTCATGAATGCAACGTCCAATGGTTAAATTTTGTGAGAGCAATGAGGAGGAAAGCACAATATTAACACAGCATTGCTACGTACTAGATCTATTGCGGTCAAGTTCTTTGTATGTGACGTATGCCCGTCAAGAGAACTGGGTGTTTTTTCGTCGCTTTAGAAATCAGAATAAACTGTGGTAGCCATTATACGAAAATCTCTGCAGTTATCCAACCAGTGTCGCTAACTTCAGCCCAGCCTAATGGTGGGAGACCTGTTTCAAATTCACGTTGTTTCTGTGGTTGCAGAAATATTAACATTGGGGGCATGTAACATCCGGCAGCTGAGCAACATATTTCGGCTGTGACAATGGTGCCTCTTTCAGCAGAACTTAAGACACCTACTTGACGTTGTCCTCTAACAGCTATTATTTTCAAAAACGGCTTGGGAACCACGCTGAAACCCGTTTCATCACAGTTGAAAATTCTAGTGGCGTCTAATTAATGTTTGTCTAGAATTTCATTAAGCAGATTTAAAAAATTCTATAGAGCTACTTTATTGAATCCCATAGCACGTGCTCCAGAAGTTGCTTCGGGTTTTCTTAAGCTTAAATTATGGTGACATTTGAAAAAACCTTTACAACAGTCTTTTCTGTCGTTTCCGATGTTCTGTTAAAGTTATGCTTGCAGTTATTCTTTTCTGCTAGCTGGTATGCTAGTCGACAAACTCTTTCATAGTCATGCCAAACAGTTGTTTTTGTACATCTTTCAGATAAACGACAAGCTCCAGCTCTAGCTTAATAGTGAAAACAATTTTTTACTTTCCTAACGTTTTATCAATGACAGCGTCTGGATTCTCCTGTCTTTTACGATTAGACGCAGCCACATATCCCATTTGTCCACTGATAACCGCATCTTCAGCTTGCTTCATAACATCGGTAGACCACGACTGCCGGGTGGTTTTCTTTTTGTAGTTACGTACCATCTTCGTTCAATAAAAAATATAATCAATACGAGAATTTCAAACGAGAAAATACAAGAAGAAAAATATTTATCAATACTAAATATAATCGGGGGCGGAATAGGGGTATACCCACCCATTGTGTCCCAGACAACCGTTTAAAGAAACATTAGTGTTATAATAGGTTATGTTTATTGGACACGTGTCATTAGGGGAAGTGTGCCTATGTTGGACCCCTGCCTATGACGGATCCCCGGCTGTAATTTTAAATAGCGCGCGGTTACATACACATCGCCGGTTGCCGCTTGCGCACGAAGTTTGTAGTTTAGTATTTGCAAAGTTTCAGACAAGTGACTAACAGTAAATTTGTGAAATAAAATTAAAATTTGGCGTTGCTGATCTAATAAATTTTTTTGGTAAGTAGCATTTTACTGGTAATATACGTTAAGCTAAGTGTTGCTTTTGTTTTGTATAAAATGACTACACTTTCTTTGTCAAATACTATACTTTTTTTAGGTTAAAATGGTCAAAACAAAAGTATCAGAATTAAATTTGCTGCCTTGTCTATTTGCCTATGATGGACCCCTGTGTCGTTACCTATGACGGACTAGGGGTCCATCATAGGAAAAAGAAAATAAAATTGGACACACCTTCAGTTTTTGTTACTTAATGATTAATATAATATGTTTTACAGGGATGGCTCTACAAAAAAGGCAACAGTGGAACGAGAGTAATATGCAACAAGCTTTAAAAAGCATACAAGAAAAAACTATGGGGTTTAAGCTGGCAGCAAAAATATTTAACGTTCCAAAAACGACTTTGAAAAGGCGCTTTATTAAGCATCAAGGAAGTATTAAAGGTGATTTGGGAGGACGAAGACCAATATTCTCCACTACTATTGAACAGGAAGTTGCTGACCATATTATTACTATGGAAACTCGTTTTTTTGGCCTGACTAGTAAAGATTTGCGAAAACTTGTATACGAAGTAGCTGAAAGAAACAATATTAGCCACAGTTTTAATAAGGAAACCAGGATGGCAGGCTGGAAATGGGTCAGAGGCTTTTTAAAGCGAAATCCTCGAATATCATACCGCACTCCAGAAAATACTTCGTTGGCAAGGGCTCAAGCTTTTAATAAACCAAATATATGTGCCTATTTTACTGCATTAGCAAATATATTAGACGAGTTTCACTTTCCACCGGAAAACATTTATAATATTGGCGAGTCCGGTTTGACAACTGTGCAAAAGAAATCGCAGAAAATTTATGCTAGTAAAGGTCGCAAACAAGTTGGTGGTTTAAGTAGTGCAGAGCACGGTCTACATGTTACGGTCGTATTGGAACATATGTTCCTCCTGCTTTGATTTTTCCCCGACAGAGAAAGAAAGATGAACTTATGATCGATGCACCTACTGGAAGTATAGCCTTCGCTCAAGAAAAAGGATGGATGGATGACTTCCGATATTTTCTATTTGTGGCTGCAACATTTTTTAAGGTATACAAAGGCTTCTAAAACCAACAAAGTTTTGTTGTTACTCGATGGCCATGGTAGTCACAAAAGTTTTGAAGCTCTCCAGTTTGCAAAGGAAAACGGTATTATTATGTTTTGTTTTCCTGCTCACTGTTTTCATCACGTTCAACCCTTGGACGTAGGATTTTTTAGACCACTTCAAATTTACTACGGCCAAGAAATTCAATTATGGCTGCGACAGAATCCAGGTAAAACGGTGACCCAATTTAAAGTAGCCAGTCTCTTTAATAGAGCGTATTTAAAAAGTGCTTTACCATCAAATGCAATGTCTTCAAGGATTGGCAATTTTTGCCGTATATAACAACAGATAGAGAAAATTCTGAACAAAACCCACTGCCAGAATGTTCTGACCAGAAGTCACCACCGGAACATTGGAGCCAAAATGTTTCTTCGACTGAAAGTTTATCAAAAAGCCCCACTGATCAGAAATCAACATCATCGTCAGTTCTAAACATCTCGGTAGAAGATATTTGTCGTCCTCCTTTAGCTGGAGTATCTCAAGTAATGCAGAAAAGGGGTAGAAAACGGGGTAAAACAGGATATTTAAATTCAACGCCAAAAATTGAAGATATAAAACAAAAAATTGCAGACAAAGAAGCAAAAACAGGAAACAAGACGCCAGAAAAGTGAAAAGGCAAGTTCGTGTTTCAACTACATGTGGTTCTGAAGACGATTGTGAATGCTCTTTTGTAGAAGGCGACTCGGACGATGCAGCTTACATCTACTGTAACGAAATATTTTCGCATTCACGATCCAATGAAAAATGGATTCGTTGTCAAGTGTGTAAGAATTGGTGTCACACTGAATGTGCAGATGTAAATCCTGGACATAAACAATTTGTGTGTGAATTGTGCGCGTAATTTTTTTATTCTTAAAAATACCATGTGTAATATTTTTTATCGTTTGTAATGTCTTTTGATCTAATAAAATAATTTGGTATTTAATTATTTTACACAAAATGCAACGAGTCCATCATGGGCGTACCAAAGGGTCCATCATGAGCGCATATATGCCCATGATGGACCCTTAACAGGATTTTAGTAAATTATGAATAAATTTTTAACATCACTTTTTCTGCAAAATTTGAAACATTTGCCACATTGTACAAATAACGAGACGTTATGTGGTCATATTTAAAGTCTGCTAAGTAAATAATTAAAATTATTATGAAGCTACTTTCTTAAGGGGACCATCATAGGCACATTTCCCCTACTACAGTTTTAGAGAGCTAAAAGTATATTGAAACAAACTTGTAAGGTTACTTTAAAAAAAAAGAATAATAAACAATATAATTTCCTTAGCGACACAACGAAAAAAATTTACAGGTTTCTTCTTTGATTTCCGATGAAACACCACCCATGTGTACTCCCAGACTGACAACGACTACTTCATATAACTCGACTTGACGAACTAAGCGTTTTGTGTGATATTCATTCGTTTATGTCGTTTGTAAGTAATATCACGTCGGTTTTCCATTCTGCCCGATACCCCGTTCCACCCCGGGTTCCCCTACATTAGATTTGCATTCAATTTCGTTTATTTATTCATCACAATTATCACGTAAGTCGGTTTCACTTTCCTCCTGCTGTTGCTCTTTCGTTTCGAGAGAATCACAAAATCCTTGGTATATATTGCAGGCATAAAATCATGAAGTTCCCTTAAATTTTGCATTGTTTTGATTAATTGGAAGGTTTGCAGATTTAATGCAGTGTAGAATTCGGCTACATTCCATTCCTTTAACGCAACTAAATCTGGGTTAAGTTTAAAGGGGATAAAAGTTTCGTTTATACTTTCAATATTGTGGAATACGGAAACTAATTTGTTTGTCCTCATATTTAAAACTTTTTCATTTTGAGACTATAAAGCTTTTGTTTTTTTTTTTAATGTAAGGTTGGAAATATGAACGAAAGTTCCCTATCATCCTTGGAATGGCGTTGACAATAGAAAACGCTTTTGATGTTCTTGCCACTTTTAAATACCTTACTTCTTGCTGATGTTCTTGCCACTTTTAAATACTTCCGGCAAGTAAAGATATGTAACTGTGTTTTTCCTTTTCAATCAGAGCAAATTTGCGATCACATGGTAAAAATGAATGGCCTCTTTCAAGAAATAGTACGAACTTACTTTTTCTCAGAGGATTTTAGGATTTTTACAAGAAATTGTTCTTTATTGATGGTTATAACAAACACTTTTATTACATAAACACATTATCCCACTTGTATCTTAATTTGTACAGCCATTACGATATTAATTCACCTAAAAAATAATTTACCTAAAACACCAGACTAACCCTAGTAATATGACTAAGAGGCCATGTAAAAATCATATTCGTATTAATAATGTATGTCATTCCACAGAACGTAGAACTTTAATAATCTACAAAATATTTAACTCACATCTAAACAGGGTGTAAGTTAAATACAACTCACGTGGCGTTTAATGTGTTTAAGATCCTATATTGGATAAATAATCATGACAGTAGGGCAAGAAATAAAAGATATAAAATGAATCAAATTGAGGAAGCACCTAAATATTATTAAATATACTCGAAATAACAAATAGCATATTTCATAAAGAAACGAGGACAAACTCTATGTAGTTGGAGTACCCCGATAAATTTAAAATATGCTTAGTATTCGTTTATAAAATAGTTATTAATAACATTTAAAAATACTTACACCAACCAGTCAATAGCAAATAATAAAGGTAAATCTTTTGTGGGGATCCCCATTGAAGTGACAATCATTAAAACAAGCACTAATGCTGCACTAGGTACACTTGCTGAAGAGAAAGACATAATCGTTGATGTTAACCTAAAAATTAATTTTTGTCATATAATTTAATTGAGATATAAATGGTTTACTATATAAGGTGTTCTATTAAAAAAAACACAACTTTGGTTTATTCCGGTGTTTTAACTGAACCTGTATAATCGCAAATAATTTTAAAGTATAGATATCCTTCACATATATCAGTTTTATTATAAACATTTTTCATATACTCCATAGTTATATACATACATATATATATATATATATATATATATATATATATATATATATATATATATATATATATATATATAAATATATATATAAAGGAAGTACTTGTGACTCGTTTGGAAAAAATGTAAACCAGTTTTGTATGGGTTGGAGTCAATGAAAGGGGCTATTTTTAACTATTTTTTACTCGAGCTTTCAATTGTGTTTTCAATTATTATCAAGAGCTACTAAAAATACAGAATATCTTAAAAAGTTGAACTTATGGTATGAATGAAGGTATAAATTAATTAACAACTAAATTAATACAAACACTAAATGTTATTGACAATATAAAAATATCAACAAAGAACATCAAAAAACCAGTTCATCTTTATATATATATATATATATATATATATATATATATATATATATATATATATATATTTAGATAATAATAAATAAAGAAGAAATTAGCATAATAATGTTATGATTTTTAATAAACTTAAATAGTGATTAAAGAAATAATTTATAAGTTATAGACTAGAGAATATTATAAAAAATATTTATATGAGGGTATTTTTAAGAAATTAGAAAATAATAAGGGTACAAAGTTTTATTTTAATAATTATAATATTATGATATATTTAAGTGAGCCATGTGCATAGGCAACCAAATATACACTGAATAAGTGACATTTGAATAATAATTACGGATGTAAAATAGTGTTATGTATTAATTTAAGATGTTTAGTTTATATATAAGTGTATATTCTGATCTAAAAAGCCTAAATGTCTATTAAATTATCCATAGAAAAATTAAGAATTTTCTAGAGCATTTAAAAAGCACGTCAATAAAAGGCAGTTAACCCTATTTGTATAGTAGAATATTCGAGAACGTTCGGATATTGATGAGATGGAAAAGTTTCGAACATGATTTGTTGCTAGAATATTCGAGAACGATGAAAAGATATAAATACGATGTAATTTGGAGCAAGGGGGGATTAAAACAGTTACAGTAAGGGGATTAGACAGTTATTATAACAGTGTGAGAGTTGGGATTAGACAGTTTAAGACAGTACGAGATGGATTAGACAGTTCAAGACAGTATGGAGTTAGTTAATTAAGAAGTTAAACAATGAAACAGTTAAACAGTTTTTCATTAAGACAGTTATAGTTGAACAACTAACAGTTACTGTCATCATCATCATCATCACCCAGCCCTTTGCGTCCACTGCTGGACATAGGCCTCCCTCATTTTTGTCCACTGTGCTTTGTCTTGACCACTTTTCATCCAATTTCTTGACATGTTCTTGAGATCGTCAGTCCATCGTGTAGGGGGTCTTCCTCTACTTCTTTTGTCTAATCTCGGCCTCCATTCAAGCAATCTCTTCGTCCACCTTTCATCACTGATTCGGGCGACGTGTTCGGCCCAGTTCCATTTTAGTGTGACAATTCGGGAAATTACATGGGTAACTCCTGTTCTTCGTTTTAAGTCTTCATTTCTAACTCGGTCACGAAGCGATATACTCAGCATTGATCTTTCCATTTTCCTCTGAGCTATTTGCAGCGTTTTAGAACTTGTAGCTGTCAATGTCAAAGTTTCGGCACCATAGGTCGTCACAGGCAGCACACATTGGTCAAATGTTTTACGTTTTAAAGAAATTGGTATATCGCTTTCAAAGATGCCTTTGAGTTTTCCATAGGCTGCCCATGCTAGGTTTATTCTTCTTCGTAGTTCGCATGTTTGGTTGGCATTGTAATCTTTATTCGTGTCCAAGATATTATGTATTTTTCCACCAGCTCTACTTCGTTATCTCCAATATTGATATTTCCGCTAGGTACTAGGTTTGTCATGAATTTTGTTTTGGATATGTTTATTTTAAGACCCACACTGGCACACACTAACTGAAGTTTATGTAGCATTGTACATATCTCCTTGAGGTTATCCGAGAACAAAACTATATCGTCTGAGAATTTTAGATTTGTTAATCTTCTACCGTCAATGTTCAGACCTTTCTCTTCCCAGCTAAGTTTTTATAAGCATATTCTAGTACTGCGGTAAACAGTTTAGGCGATAAGGTATCACCCTGTCGGACTCCTCTGCCAAATGGGATGTGATTTGTCTTTTCATGTAGTTTCACCGACATAGTTACGTTTTTGTATGTATTGTAAATTAACCTTGTATATCGGTAGTCAATGCGGCATGCTTGTAGTACTTCCAGGATTTTGTCAAATTCTACCGTGTCAAAGGCTTTATGGAAATCTACAAAAGCCAGAACGAGTGGTCGATTGTATTCGATAGTCTTTTCTATTACCGTTTTAATTCTCTGTAGGTGATCATTTGTTCCAAATCCGGTACGAAATCCCGTTTGCTCTATTGGTTGATAGAAATCAAGTTTTTTCTCAACACGATTCGTTACCATTCTTGTAAAGAGTTTGTATAGGTGACTAAAAAGACTTATAGGTCTGTAGTTTTCTAATTCATGGGGATCCTCTTTTTTGTACAATAGAATTACCTCAGTATTGTGCCATTTGTCGGGTATATTACTGTCCAAAAGGCACATGTTAAATAGGTTTTTTATCTTCTTAAGAAGGCAAGTGTCTCCGATTTTGATTGTATCAGTAACTACACAATCTTCGCCTGGAGATTTGTTATTCTTAGCTTTTCTTAGGGCTAGTTTTATTTCGTTCATTGTGATTTTCGGTAGTAGTTCTGATCCTTGGTTGACAATACCCTTTTTCTTTGTTAATATTTCTGGTATTTGATCTTCTCTTCTATTTGCTTTGTGTTAGCTTGTGTACAGCAGTTTGTAAAAGTTTTCAACTATTTTAAGGGTTTCCTCTCTATTGGTTGTAACTGCAAGATGACCATTTCTATCTTTAATCTTTATTATCTGCCTTGTCTCCGTTTTTAGTCTTCTTCTCAATACTTTCATACTTCTATTGTTCTCTATGGTATGTTCGATTTGTTCTTGGTTGTATTTTCGAGTGTCTTGTCTAATAGCTTTGGATATTTCTTTATTTAATTTTTGTAGTTCGTCGGCTTTAGTTTCCGTCTCGCTTCTCATTTCTCTTCTTTTCTGCATTAGTTGCCTAGTATTTTGACTAATCTTCTCTTCTTTTTGAGTTCTAGGACATAATTTGTTTTGACTTTCCAGTAAAGCATTTGTTAATTTATTGTTTAAGTCGTTTATGTTATTTTCAGTTTCAGGACTTCTAAGTATGTCGGAAAATATTTCCGACAGTTACAGTAAGACAGTGCATTCAATAAGCAGTCAATCATTCAGTCAGTTGATCAGTAAATAGTACAAGCAGATAGTATACAGTGGTAGTACTAAAGTATTAATTATACAATACAGTATGCAGTAATAAGTGATTCAAAGTTTTATAATATTTGAAAGTATATTAAAATCATAATATCTATATGGTGATTGGAGATTATTAAGAAGAAAAAATGAGATTATAAGTAAGAAGCAGAGAAGAAACAATAAATAAAGAAGAATATTTTAAATTGGTAGAAGCTGATAATTAAAAGATTCTGGTATAGTGGTATATTTGAAAAAAGAAATTGCACAAAATCAAGGATAACCGAGGCTGATAAAGAAGATATTGAGTGGTGATTATACCCTTTATTTTGTATAACAGTTTCATCTAGGCATTCAGTGATAGAAAGGTACCAAATTTTGTTAATATAATTTAATTATTGTAAGAATTTCAAATTTAAGATAGGTTGTTCTAAATTTATATTGTCTATATTAGATATATATGTGTGTTTCATAATAGTTATAATAAGGATAATTTAAAAAAGTACTTACAAACTAATTATCGCGATAAAAACCCTATACTTATATATTTTATTTTAAAACATCCATTGCTCATACACAAACAAAACATCATAGCAATATATATATATATATATATATATATATATATATATATATATATATATATATATATATATATATAAAGGAAGTACTTGTGACTCGTTTGGAAAAAATATAAAAACGTTTTGTATGGGTTGGAGTCAATAAAAGGGGTCATCAAAACCATTTCATCTTTATATTCCAAAACTAAGTATCCTATAGACAAATTAGATAAAACAAATGTAGTATACAGCATTAGTTGTACTCAGTATGCATCTGAGTATGTTGGTGAGACCGGAAGAAATCTTTCAAATCGCATTATTTCCCACAAAAGTGGTTGCAGAATTAAGAAACCATCTTGTACTTAGGCAGAGCATGTAATCGACAAAGACCTTTGGATTTTGATAATATTAAAATTTTATGTAATAAAAGTAATAAATTCAAAAGGACTTTTTTTGGAAATGGTTTGTATTAGCAAAAATGATAATAATTTAAACAAAAGGTCAGAAAAATCAAAATCTAAGCAAAATTTATAATTATATTATTTCTATGTAATTTATATATGAAACCAGTAAAATATCACATTTTGATTTAATTTTCCATGTATTTGTTACATTTTTTCAGGAATCTATCAATGGTGAATAAATCTTCTTCTTTTTTGTTACTAAACAAAAAATAATTTTTAAACAAAATTTTATTTTTGGCAATATAATTGTCAAAAATAAACATTTTAAGTTAGTATTTATGACATTGAGGCTTAATTGTAATTGTCACTATTAAAATTTATTTATAAATTCAATTGATTTTGTGTTCAGATACTTTTTCAAAATTATATCAAAAATTCAGAGAAGCATTTATTAGACTAGAATATTTTTAATATTAATATTTTTTGAAATATATTAGCAGCATTTATATATATATATATATATATATATATATATATATATATATATATATATATATATAT